CTCTCTCTCTTTCGCTCTCTCTCGCTCTCTCTCTCGCTCTCTCTCTCTCTCGCCTCTTTCTCTCTTTCTCTCTCGCTTTCTCTCTCTCTCTCTTCTCTCTCTTCTCTCGCCTCTTTCTCTCTCTCTCTCTCGCTCTCTCTCTCTCGCTCTCTCTCTCTCTCGTTCCCTCTTTCTCTTTCTTTTTTCTTTTTTCTTTCTGTTTTTCGCTCGTTCCCTCTTTCGCTCTCTCTCTCTCTCCTTGTCGCTCTAATTAACCATCTCTCTGTTTCTTCGTGTCTCTTCCTCATTCCTCATCTTCTGGCCCCACGCTATCTAGCCCCACATGCAACAAAACCCGGAAACATTGACCACGTTATTCAAATTCTACGATGCATTTTAATGATTTTATTTATTTATTTGGTTATTATTTTGACAAATTTTCACATTTTATTGTATTTTCAAAGCTTCACTCGATGGCAAAACAACACATCGCTGGTCAGTAATATAGAAGCTGTGTTTATTTCATGTTTAAGCAGAACGTTACAGTCATTGCAAGGCGCGTGTACATTCAACGCGCGCCGACTCACAACGCAACATAGCAGGAGTTAATAATGACAAATTTGTCATTATTAACCTCCGAACATAGTAATCGAATGTTCGATGTTTAATTAACACAACACACACACGCACTCCGCGCACGCATACACCACTAATTCGTATTACGAAGTGCGCGCATGTAATCGAAACCGAGAAAGTCACCTTTACTGCAGCATCTCACAGGTTCTCTATACATAGTCCACAGTTTCCCGCGTCCGTGTCTCTCTTCGGACCTTCTTTCTACGTTCTTTCCTGCTTTTCTGGAGATGTGATCTCGGGTAGAAATCGCTGCGTTTGTACACGGATTGCTAATGAAGGTTAGTAGCTGACATATCTAAACAATAAACGCAAGCACTAACTCGGTTTATTCTGTTCTATCGTCAATCCCTGTGACGGCATTATCACTCACTCACGCGCGTATATATAGATCGGGTCAATCATTGCATAAGCGACTGAATTTAACGAGCGACCTCAACAAAAAATATCAAGTGTTCATCTCAATTTCTTACACCGCCGTCTATCGATCGATTAACACGTCGTGATCGTTCGATTAGTCATTTATTGATTAACCTCGGATCCATCGTTTTTATATGCGTTGTCGATACTAACCGTTGTCGTCGTTGCCCGTCTTGTATTTTTAATTAGATATCCTAATGCACATTTGCATTAACTTAGATTAAGATCGTATTAATTATTAAAATTATTTAAATAATAATCGCTACGATCTTCGCAGATATTTGCAATTTTTGCGTGTTTCTGAATAATGTCAAAGATAACTAAATAAGACACGAACCTCTACCATAGAAGACGATTTGTCCACAGACTGCACTAGTGACTTAATCTAAATAGTAGATTCGGAGTATGTATTATTATTATTAAATAATTATACATTGTCGACAAAGAAAGAAGAGCAGACGCCAGTACCATCGCCACGTCTGTATCCACGTAGACAACAATAAAGACATCGTATGCTATAATTGCATTATACACTATTAAAAATCCTCGAAATATTCACTCTGTATTTCGTTGATAAAACTCAATTACTATTAAGACTCATCAAATGCCATCAAGTCTAATTAGGCCGTTGAATTTATAATCAAATCTTGTTGCGAAACATACTGTAACATTATTATTTCCTAATGAATTCATTATGGTCGGTCTCTCTCGCTCTCTCTCTCTCACTCATTCTGTCTCTACCTCACATTTCCACTCTCTCACTCATTTTGTCTCTCCCACTCATTCCCTCTCTCTCAAGCATTCTCCATCTCGTGAGAGAGCGCGCGCTGTGTAAGTCAGTGTCAGTGTAAGTCAGTGTCGGTGTAAGTCAGTGTAGGTGTATATGTCCGTCAGTGCTGCGCTGGTATTTGACGTGCGGGTGTGAATATCGTGTCATGTCGAATCCCGTGATTATTAGGCATTTATTTAATTTTTCCACCGTCAATTTCTGGCGCTAAATGACGCGGACCGCGCAACGTACGCAGCCAGCTGAAAGGTGCGATAGGATATGTTTACTAGGCACTTCTAATTTTAACATATATTTTAAATTTAATTAGGGTCAGGGTTAGGGTTAGGGTTAGGGTTAGGGTTAGGGTTAGGGTTTTTGCATCATTCTTTAATATATCGTAAAATATATGTTAAAATTAGAAGTGCCTAGTAAACATATCCTATCGCACCTTTCAGCCGGCTGCGCGCCGCACAATGTGTGGAACGGGCTCTAGTTATTGCAGCACTCTCATTGGTTGATATGTTAGCAGCGATGTCATTAGCAATCCTTGAAAAATGAAATGAAACATTGAAAAATCCTCACTCGCCTAAGGCGCCTGGATTATGTGAGTCACTCTTAATTTAATAGCAACTGCTGAAAAAACGTGGAAGGGATTCTCATACATGCAAACGCAAGTCGTTATCCCGGTGGCTTTCCATATCGAGTTATCATTATATAAATATGAGTTTATCGCTTCAAGAAATTACGAGTCTCGGCGGATTGTGAAATTAAAAATAAGCTCAATCAATCCGTGAGGAAACCGCTGATACGGTTACTGTCTCGAAAAGCAACCGCGTGTTTTTCCGTGTTGTTTTAATCTACAGTATATTACAATTCTACGCTTCAGACGTTTTCGAACGCCCGAGTGTCTCGCGCATTACTTGTGATCCGTAACAACGGTGACATTTGAATAAACCGGTGAATCGGGAAGCGAATATCGCGAGCTTATAGGATGTGACCGCCTTACTGCGGCAATACATCATGAAAGAGATCACGCAGACGCTCGGTTGTGTTTGTGTCGAACGTTTTGTTACATCGAATGCACCGGCAAATTAGGGAGTATAAAGAAGGTATATATAAGCATGAAAAGTAGATTGCATAGTCATGTGATGCACTAAAAACATTAATGCCTGTTGTTGGGGGCACTATGCTCTCATAGTGCCCCCAACAGCAGGCATTAATATATAAATAATGCTACATATGATATATAATATAGATAGTGAACCTATGCGATGAGGGCTAATTACGCTCCTCGATATTATTGTAATAACATAAGACTCCGTGGCTCGTATATATATTCGTAACCCCACCTAAACCCAGCTGGTAATTGACGAAACTGGTTAGGATTGTAGGGCGTTCGAGCAGTTTTAGAATCAGAATAAATAGACTCGCTCGGACAGAGAGGAAGATATTAGTTATTACATGGACAGTTACTATGTAAGACGCAGAGAACGGAAGGCGAGACGCGGGACCTAGGCATGAGTACCTTGGTTGTTGTATACAACTCTTACAGCCCCCGCCCCTCCCCCTGACTCCACGAACATCCCGATGTTCGCGAGTTGGGCGGCGGCGGCG